GAGTTGCAAAGGGCTGATAGCTCAAGGAGGTTTTGCACGGGCTGCATCGGACCTTGGGAAGAAAAAAAAATTGGACAAGCTACTTGGACCGCAAAGTCCCGGCCAGCCGGAGCAGAAAGGCTACCCGCGGGATACATGTGGCCCCGGGCTAATGGGCGGGCAGCGACTAAGTATCAGGTGAGTTACTTCAATGCATTTTCTGTTGTACTCACGACCCGGACCCCGGCAAACTGCCCCAAACACTAATCCAGAAAGGGAAGAAGTCAACGTGCAAGTCAAAACCTGGCTGTTTTGTCACAACCGCTCTCCTTCTCACTGTCGCTGGGGCAGGATGGGAAGAGAACGCTGCTTGCGCGATAACCCGCGCCGTATTGGCTGTCGACGAGCGGGAAGTTCTTGGGCAATCAGTGGGGATATTGACAAAAAGGGGAGCAGAGCAAACATTGGAACGGAACCAGAAGTACCTTTCGACACACCTCACCAAAGAAGTAAATAGACAATGGAATTATATACGGCACCTTGCAAGAAGTCAGGCCATCGTTGATTATTGAAGCCTAAGTAGCCTTGCATCAGGTTTCTACTGACGTTTTTACTAGTGTTGTCGCTATGTCAAGTGCTTGCAATACATCGACATTATCTACCAGGTACCTACTACGCTCGCGGCCTCTGCTGGTTCTAGTGATGGCACGGCTATCAAAAGACGCTTGAGGTCCTAAAGTATCATACTACTTAAGTAAGCTATTCAAAGTCTAATGTTTTGAATTAAAATTCTCATGACCTGTCTTATCATAGTTGATGAGGTTAGTGATAGTGATGGTCATTAAAACACCCCTTGCGCTACCTGGGCACCTGGTAAGCAGATTTGCGCGATCCCAATCCCAGAACTTCCCAATGGAAAACCAAACAGTCAGCATGCATCCACACCTTTACTGAGTAAGTTCGGTGGATGCAGCCGAAGTCGGGACGGAGCCTCAATGATGTTGTAAGCAAGCTTTGTTCGATCGAACACTTAATAGGTTATCTAGCACAACCCCTACTACCCGGTCGTTTCGTAGCGGCTGCGCCAAGGAGTTAGGACAGTACTTGTCGTGCTCACACAATGTCTGTTCCGAAGTTGGGCCATCTGACCCCAGAGCAGATGTGTCACTGGTAATAACGTCCGGTGTCAATACAAAGGTCCTAGAGGTACCAGACCGATCGCTTGACCGAATGTGACCAGCACAAGCGGCCCCATGGCCTTATGTACCTACCTACTTTACTTAGTAGGTAAGTACTTAAGTATCTAGATGCCCATTAGGAAAACTCTACAACTTTTGCACTCTGCTTCGTACTGCAAATCGAGTCATTTACCAGCCTGTTCCCGTGATAGTGTGTCTGGTCAATAGTTCAAGCCCGCATGCTGATTGGCGCGCAGGTCAAGGCGTTAGCGTCTGAGGGTACCACGCGGCTACGTCTCGTGCGCTGACCCCCGAGTCGAGGCACAATCTGACGTTGGTTTGTTACTACGATTACAATCCATCATCGAAGCCGACCAACGCCAGTGTTATTACTGGCCGGAACGTCACTCCTCTAATCTTCTTGCCTGTCCTCCAATTCGAGCTTGCTCATTTTACTCCCGCCCATTGCTTCCAGATTACGGGGTGCGTACAACTCGTTGCCCGCCAGACTTCCGGCCGCGGTAGATAAGAACAACCATGGCTTCCCGCGCCGCAGTACCCTTTCTTGTGACGATGATGCTCGTCACAGGAGTGTGCAACACACTTCTCACGAAATACCAGGTGAGTGTTTTGTCGTTTTTCATTCAAAGTCCCCATGTCACACTCTTACATTGACTTGACAATCGCTGATTTGATGTGTAGGATAACCAATGCGTTCGGAATTGTCATGGCAAACGACCCCAACTCTTTGAGCAGCCGGTGCTCCAAACGGCGCAGATGTTCGTAGGCGAGATGGGGTGCTGGCTCGTTATTGCACTGATGGCTGCGTATCGGCGCATCGTCTCTCGACCGTCTCCCGAGGAACGCGGCTACGAAACTGTCAACACCACTGAGAATGCAGAACATGAAGAACACAGAAACAGACCCAAGCCAGATGGCGATTGTCCGTCCGTCCTCCGAGGGTTTCGCGTCGTTCTCCTGGCGCTTCCCGCCATTTGCGATATTTGCGGTACTACGCTCATGAATGCAGGACTACTCCTCGTTGCTGCATCCATCTACCAAATGACCAGAGGTGCCCTAGTGTTATTCGTCGGTCTGTTCAGCGTCATGTTCCTCCGTAGGCATCTTCATCTATTCCAATGGCTCTCTCTCGTTGGCGTTGTTTTAGGTGTCGCTATCGTGGGCTTAGCTGGGGCTATCTGGCCTGATGAGAAACAAATATCACAGAACGGTGGCAGCTCTGTCGTTGATGACGGTTCCAGTGGAGGACTTTCAGACGCCGCAAGAGCTGTCATCGGGGTACTCCTCATTGCTGGGGCTCAGATATTTACAGCAACACAATTTGTGCTAGAGGAATGGATGCTAGAGAACTCAACTATCGCGCCGATCAAGGTCGTCGGCTGGGAAGGGATCTTTGGTTTCTCGGTCACACTCTTGGTTATGGTTGCCATGCACTTCTTGGTTGGGCGTACAGAAGCTGGACGCTATGGCCCATTTGACATGGCCGAGGGCATTCGACAAATTTCCCAACCGAAGATTTGGACCTCTAGCGTTCTGATTATGATTAGTATTGGGTGAGCCTTCTCTCAAGACATATGCCAAATGATTTGATTTGTTGGCTAACAACTTAATCTTTCTACAGTGGTTTCAACTTTTTTGGCCTGTCCGTCACACGTAGTGTCAGTGCGACCTCTCGATCAACCATTGATACCTGCCGAACGCTCTTCATTTGGATCGTCTCACTGGGACTTGGCTGGGAGTCATTCAAGTTACTTCAAATCGTTGGATTTGCGCTGTTGGTATACTCGACTTTTGTATTCAACGGGATTGTACAACCTCCACTGGAAAGTTTGCGCATCAATGAAGAGGTGGAGGAACTACTTCCTGAGGAACCCATCGAACACCAGTAACTTGACGTCTTAATGCACTGTTGCTTGGGAGGCATTGAGCGCAAGTGTCTGGTTTGGTAGCTGGACTACTGTATAGATTTCAGAGAATCTATTTATCGTGCCATGTAATTCATCACTCCTCCGTACAAATTCTGACTTATAAGTCCTCAGGTCAAAATGTACCATGGGCACTATTCATCCTTGCAGCTCTGGACGCGTGACGTCTCGAGTGTCCTGTAAACCAAACTTGAATATCGCCAATCTCAACCATGTAAAGAATATGATTATTTCACAGCGGTGGTTAGATTTTTTGACAACATACAATTACTAATGTCGCAGTCGCTACTCAAGCACAGTGCATGGTTGCTACTAGTCTCCCCTCACCCCAAACACTCTCGCTAGACATGAAACGAAATGCAGTCTTCTCAAGTTACATTACAGAGAAGCTCTGCTTCGAGAATAAACTTGCCCTCTTTGTACTTTTCGGAGGCTTCGTAAGCTTTGTCATATTTCCAGCCCACTGTTTCCTTGCACTGACGACAAGTAATATCGCGGACTATATGCCTACCGGTCGTCATGTTGCGCTCACTAGGCTCGCCAGCCTCAATGTTCACAACAGTATGGAACAGGTAGGCCTTGCCATGCTGGCCGCGGAAATTCTATCGCCACATCTCGGTTAGCACATTCAGCTTGCAGCATGTCTTTGACGCAAAAGGAGTCTTTCATTCTGCAATGTTCGCAGGCCTTACTTGGCTCTTGCTCGTGGTGGAATCAGGTGCTGGTCGCTCTGGAAGTAGGCAGGACTGTAGGAATCCACATACCCGACTTATGATATCCTCATGATTTGCCAGATGGGTCTTGCAGGTCTTGCAGCCGTATATCTTGTTGCTATTTAGATATGTGTTGTATGAAAGACCCATATCGCCAGATCTTTGTATATCTAGGGGTACGGCGTGGAGATGGAGGTGGTTTGAGAGCGAAGGAGGTTAATAAAAGTCTGGTAGTTGGGGGGTTGATGGATCTGTGTAACACTGTGGGTTGTGGCAGGTTGTTTCGGTGAACTTGGGACGTTTGATTCCTCCAGGCAACTACGTCAGCAGTCCACAAACCGAGGGCAGGTGACCACTGACGAGGACGGCTTGCTGAACCACGGAGTTTGAATGAAATGCGCGGCAGTGAAAAATGCTGCAGGCTCCGAGGGCAGCGAAAAGCGTAAGAACTCTCAAGTGCTAGAAAAAAGACGAAAAGGAAGTGCCTCTATCCTGCCCGATTCGATCGATATGTGGGATGAATGTGGTGATTGTGTTGGATTGGACTCCTCGTTCTATAGGCAGGCCCTCCATGTCACGTCAGGCGGAACGCCGTACTGGGGTAGGTGGCGGGCCTAATGGCCAATATCCTGTTTAATAAGGTGACGGAGGCGATTGGCCATCTGCTTAGATGTCCGGAATTGGGATAGGTCGCAATTGAGTCACTAAGCCTGCGCTTTGTTTTTAGAGACATCTGGGCCAACCGAATTCTACTTAAGTCAAGTATCGCGGTGAGGTCTCGAGCATTCTGTAATCAAAACATAGTCTTGTCATTCGAGGCGGCAAAACTACCAAGGTACCTAGGTAGAGGTACCCAAGGGCGATGTCTGGTGGACCGTTGGCATCTACACCTAAGTACCTAGTGTACCTAAGTACCTACCTAGGTACTTAAGGTATGTACCTGAGTAGGTATGTAGACAGCTATGGTCACCCAAGTACGGAAGCATAAAGTAGGAATGCAGCGGCATGGTTCACGAGTTGAGACGAAGAGTATTGGAAATAATTATAGCATTATCCAACCATACTTGAGTCATATATTTCAGTAGGTATTCTTCTAGCAATCAATATACCAAGCCACCCAAGAACGCCAGCCAGCCAACAGCCCGAAGTGATCGGCAAGATACCACTCTCTTGAACGGTTACACTTATTCTTTGCCGCCTTTCCTCCTGAAGTCGAGATTCTTATCTTTAATGTTGTTAAAGTGCCAGATACCTTGTTCTCTGTCGCGCTCTAAGCGTTCCATATCTGCCTGGCTAACTGGCACCCCTTCTATACTCTTAACAGTTTTCCCTTCTAGGAACATAATATATCCTCCAATACCAGCAACCCCGCAGCCAAGAGCAACAAATAAACCGGTAGCCCAGCTTGGGCGGTTATACCGGTTCATACCCCACATGAACCCTGAGAGAACGCATTGTAGAAACGTGTTAGCTACCATAAGCCAGATAACCAAATCTAACTTCCATACTAATGTTGGCCGGGCTCGGACTCCGGTTAGAGGGGCCTCGGGAATCTTTGTTTCGGGGAATGGTATTGCAGAGCGCGAGACCGACTGAAACTCATCTCTGTTAATAGTTCCAGGTCCAGCGGCTGGCGGTAATTCGTTTGAACCTCTCAACCGAAACCACCCCCGGTGAATGCCAGCCAATCGCCGAAGGGCCTCCGTTTTTTTCGCTAGTCGGTATTGTAACAGGAAGTATAGATCTCTAAACCGCCAGGGGGCAAGTCCGAATCCGGTGACACAGAATAGGGCGTTGAGGATCTGCGAGTCGACCTCGATCCACTTGCGCCGTGGTGAATTGATGTCGTTGCAAGAAGGGTAGCACATGGCAGGTGCTGCAGAGCTTGATTAGTACATGCTAAATGGAAACCGATATTGAAAGTGCTCTTACAGGCATTACAAAGGAGCAGGAACAGCATTCCGCCCCATGCAACCACATTCAAGCCATAGATAGTCACGGCAAACCCTACAGGTGTAAGAAAATAGTTCCAGAACGCAAGGAGACCGAGCCTTGTCGACTCGCCAAACGAGTGCTTCGGGGGGAAATGATAGCCGTTTGGAAACGGCGCTGCAGAAGGGGGCTCGCCCTTGCATTTGGCTTCTGCCTGGATAGCTGAGCTACCATCGTTCTTGCTCTCCGCGTGACCTTCCTCGGAGACGGGATGAACTGGGGTGGGTTGCAAGGCATTTTCACCGCGAACAGCTGGCTGGGCCTTAGCCGAACCAATCGAACTAGAAACAGGTCGAGGGCCAGCCTGACGTGAGAGGATAGACGAGGCTATTCCACCTGTTGCTGCAAAGAAGCCTTCTGGCAGCTCAGATTGCTCAAAGCTTTGGGATACGCGTCGCAGGCGCCCACTCAGAGATGATGATGCAGCAGGACGATTTTTCCCTACGTTCTTAGATCCGTCGGCACTTGAAGATTGCGCAAGTTCTATCGGCGAGCCTTGCTCAATTGGGGGGAACGGTTCAATGTCCGCGTTACTCTTTCTCGCGCCGGACATGGTCGTCCGTTCGAAGGCGATGGCAAAATGATGGGTATCAGAACCCTCTCGTGACTGGGAGCCCAAGACTGTGGAGGAAATTTCGCGTCAAAGTGATTTATGCCGGCGATGCTAGGGTCGTTATATCGCCAACCCTTAAAGAATAGAGTCGAAGGCGACTGCCGGTGAGGGGATGCCAGGAAACAAAGGAGAGATGGATGACACCAGACCAGACCAGGACAAAGGGATACCCAAGAAGTACGGAGGACATGTAGGAAGTAGGAACGTTAGTACCCTGGGCTTCGATGAACTGAATGGCAAACGCGGACTACTTAAGTACCCAGTAACATGTGGGGGGAGTACTGCTACCATCTGCAAGCGCCAGCAACATTGCAGCCGTGGGACCAGTCTGGAACGAGCCAATGCATGATAGCGGGCAACTGTGAGTAAAAAACAAAGGCCGTCAATGGGTACCTTGCGTAACCAAAAATTTTGACCATTACACAACTTCAAGTTCAGCGATTTTACCAGCGAAACCGTCAGATTAGCCACCATCGCATTTGCAACAACTACCTAGGTAGCCACAGAGTACAGTATCGAAGCCATTACTACCTTGGCTTGGCTTGTCTTCGTCCGACCGGTGGCTGTGCTGAGGAATCATGGCCGAACAAGAAGAGCACCATTCAGCTGCGGTGAAGGATGTTTGCGACACAGTCCTTCATAACCTAGCAGACCAGCATGACTGGACTTGCCTGGAGCTCCGCGACGGACCGGAGCTGCCTCGATCTCTAATAAGAGGCCTGCCGCCCAAGCGACTGTATTTGCACCCTGACGACCAGATTGCTGCTCTCGCCCACGAAGAAGCCACTGGGGAAAAGCTGTTCCAAAACCCAGAGTACGAATTAGTTTTGCCAGTGCATATTACGGAGACATGGTCCCTATCCAGATTCGCGGCTGTTTTCAATTCGGTATCTAATAACGGCACACGGCCAAAGAGGATTTTGTTGGCTACTCTTCACAATGATTCTACCGTGGTTTACTACCTAATGCATGAAGGGATGGTGAAGCCTCGTCAAAACTAATTTTTTTGAAGGCTTCCAAATCGCGTTCCACGACTGCTCACTAGTTATCACTTACTATGGGCGAAAAATGACCTTCTGGACCTTCATCTTGTCAAAAAGCTCGTATCCTTCTACAGCATCCCTCAGCGGCATGACATGGTCGAACATGAATCTGCAGTGGCAAGTGCATTGGTCAGTCTCATCCTCGAACAACGGGCCTATCCCGATGTAGGCAAGGGTGATGAAAGCATTGCTGATAGGCTTGACTTATTGACGACTTACCCGAGTTGGTGCTGCTTCTGCTCCAAGACTTTCAATGCCTCTGGGAAAACATGACGTACCGGGCATCTCCCCATCTGGAGACGAACATTTTTTCTGCAAAATTGTTAGCTTTCCTCTTCTCCATTGCTCTCTTCCGCTCGACACTCAGAACACAAGAAGGTCCTGTTCCTACCCGTAACCTTCATTTCCGGTCCATGGGATCTAAAGAAACGGTCAGGCACCGGCTAAGAGAGATTTGTCGAGCGTCACATACCTCTGCGTTGTGGACTCCTATACTACTGATTACCCCAAATGGCCGGACAAGATCAAACGCAGTCCTCAGCGCTGGGCTCAGACCCACGACTTCCACAATCATATCTGCCCCACGACCGTCAGTTGCTGTCATGACGTGCTGGCGCATCCCTTCTGGATCAGTTGCGAAGTTGAGAGGTGTTGCACCAAGATCTTGAGCAATTTTCAGTCGACTTTCTACCCCGTCGACTGCAAAGAGATGGCGAGGCTGGAGGCCGGACGCACAGGCTATCGCGCAAAGGCCAACAGGACCACAGCCCACAACGACGATGGTGGACTGAGTGATGTCTACGGTTGGAGACAGCTCTATTGCATTCTTTACTCCAAAATAGCCAGTGGGGAAAATATCGGCCATTAGAAGCAAAGCACGATCAGAAATAGTCTCCGGTGCCTTGAAAACAGTGCTGTCGGCAAATGGTACTCGCACATATTCGGCTTGCCCGCCATCGAGTCCGGCAGACCCAAAGAGCAGGCTTTGGTCACAGCGAGCTGTGAAGCCCCTCTTACAATAGAAACAGTTTCCACTATGGATTTTCATGTTAGCGGGGTTTTTAAGAATCCCTTACTTTTGGACGACACATTTCCAATTGAGTCATCGTGGGATCAGGCATAGCGTACCAGGATACAGTGAAAGGAGACACGACCTTGTCCCCTACGTGTAAGGTATGCACATCAGACCCAACCTCGCTCACGATGCCTGTGAACTCGTGACCCATGATGAAGCCACAGTCAGACTTTTGGTGCCCACGATATACATGCAACTCGCTGGCAAGTGGTGGCGTCAGTCTTCAGATCTGAAACTTGGTCCTGCTCAGAGGAAAATTGGGAAAGCATGACGACTTACGAGCCGCAAAGGGCAGTCGCTTGCACTTTGATAATGATATCTTTGCTGTCTTGCACTATGCCCATGTTAGGCATTTCCTCGCCTAGGCAACATGAAACGCACCCCAATTCCAAATTTGCAGAATACGTACATTGAGGTAGGGGGCAATCCCGAACAGCTACCTGACGTGGACCCTCGAATACGACGGCTTTCATGGTCATTGGGAGACTCATGATCAGGGATTTTTGCCTTGCGTAAGCACCGTCCAGATAGATTTTCTAGGTCTCGGTAATGAGTGAGGTTAAATTTCAATGTGATCCAGGACCGATAGATGCTTTTGCTGTTTCCGAGGCTGAAGCATGAGGGGGTCCCGGTTGCGGCCACCACCTCAATGTGTGGGGTCTTGCAGCCAGATTCATTACCTACCTCCTACTTAAGTAGGTACTTAGAGGTACTAGTACTTCAGACTCCTGATCGTCTGGAACTGTTCCAATAACACTGAAGGCACACTCGGTATCGCTTGTGATGGCATAGCCTTTGGCGGAGGGGGCCTTTGTGTAGTAGTGAGCCACAATGGCCGCCCATGCTATGTCTCGCCAGTCCGTGGGTGAAGGACACAGCCAACTTTAGAAGCTAACCCATGGACTCCGCCCAAGTGTTCTGGTACTAAAAGGAACGGACTAAGTCTCAGGCTCAGGGACGGCGACTCCTTCAGGTCTCCTACTTACTTTAAGTACGCAGAATGAACACAGCCTGACGTGTTACTTCAACAAGAGTTAGCGCAGGTCTGGTAGAGGAGGCGGAAAATCTACCTCGCTGCACGTAGGAGGAAGAATTACATTACAATTTGATCATTCCTCCAGTGTTACGAACTCAAACAAGCACAAATGGGTTTCGCTTGATATGCGCATGGAGGCGGAGTAGTCGGGAGTCTGGGGTCTCTTCTTTTGCAGAGGTCGGGCAACTCCTTACTTTAGGTACCTAATAAGTACTTAAGTACCTAGTAGTTTGACACAAGCACGGATTTGCCGAGACTCGCATATCTATGGAGTTCTGCATGTATGTAATGTACAAAGCAGCTGTGTCAGTCGGTACTTCCCGATAATTGATGCTGTACACACATTCGCTTACTTTACTTACTTTACCAAGCAACCAGTAGTGCTTGGCTACGAGAAATTTACATGTTCGAACTCACATGCAGCTTGTTTCTTGTCTGAGATGGGCTCCGTAGCCGTTTGGTAGGTGCCTTACGGCTTCCCTGAGCTGGGGAAAGTGTCCATGTCAAGGCCAACCGGACTTCTGAAGCCAATTATTCGTTACGCTCGGGCATCCTCCGCCCAGCCGCGCCCCCCCTCCCGGGGTTGCTCCAGCACGGGTGGACCCAGGTATGTACACAGGCGGGGCGCGCCCGGCGGGGTGCGGCTGATGAAGCTCGCGCGAGTCCATGCCACCCAAATTGCTCTGCCATGGAATTGGGCTTACTATAACATGTAACCACAAAATGGGACAAGTTGTAAAGCGGGTGATACGCAGTGGGAAGAAAACTGAGTCAACAGATCTAACTAAGCTGGAGGGGCGTAAACTGGCAGGGTCTACTTACCACGTGTATTGTATGCACTACCGGACCGATAGACTCTGAAACTATTTTCATATCTAGGGATTGCAGGTTACTGGAAGACGAGAGCGTTGCCAACAATCCATAACCGACCCAGGCTACAATCAATTCCTGTACTCCCTTGGCGCTACCCGAAATACCGGTACATGGCAGAATAACAATGTCAAAGGCAGTATTTGGTAGGCAGGTAGAAGAAATGAAAAAAAGGGGGTGTTGGTTGGGTTTTGGAACAGGTCAGATATGAGAAACTCAGTATCTAATAATGTACGCGCACCGAGGTCGTGATCAAATAAGCGCAAGAACTACCAATGGGCGCCTCCAGTTAGCGAAAAGGCGAAAAGTAACAGCTCACAGCCATTTGTTGATCCCTCAAGAGCGTCCCATGCATTTGCAGCCAAGCTCACGGTAAAGCAAAACATCGGACGCCAAGCCCAGATAGCCTCGTACAGTAGGCATCCACATTCCGTTACTTTTTTTCCTGAACGGATTACGGTGTGTGATCTTGACCTCATGATAAGTCCGTGATACAGGAAGGCCGAGCTGGTCAAGATGACAATGTCATGGGCCAGCTATCAGTCAAACTACCTAACGACCCGGGCAGGTTATTATAATCTACACTCTGGTATGAATATTGTTAGGCTGTTAACTTATATCGACGAAAAGCCGCATCCTAATGGTCTCGAGGTTTGTTGCATCGTCTATCGGACCCCGAAGCTTTACACGGATGCTTGGTTACGGATCGATTGCTTTCAGCTTTCATGGCACTTGTCGGCGAAGTGCTTCATCTGGTTTTGTCGTGGCTTTGTAATTACGACTTTGCTGTCAACAACCCGCTGACCAACCCGATCACTGGGGTCTGCTCGCAAGAAATGCTACGGAGTACAAGCTATGGAAACACGAACATGTTTCAAGGACAGCCCAATAATTTCCAGGCCCCTTGAAAGCACCT